TCAGACAGGTAAAACTCTTAGAAGAGTGCCCAGCACATAGTTTTAAACAATTGCTAGCTAGTACCACTGTTATATTACAGCTCCCCTAGTAACCTTCATTCCTCAAGATATCTTCCTTTTATATGCTGTTTTCCGATGCTAGCCCCTCCTAACTAGGAACACAGAACTTGACCGCTAGTCAGCCTTGAGAATTGCTCCTGCACTGGATATGTTCTGGTGCTGTCTTAGTCCTGCTGTGAACAATGGCTGTCTTGTCTCGGCTTTCTTTAGTCACTTAGGCCTGTGGTTTCAAAACACTAAAGACAAAGGAAAATAAAGCGCTTTTTCCCCTCTCCTTACTTTTGTGACTCATGTTCTCCCAGCCTCCACCACTTTTCCTGCCTCTCTCACTGGGATGGGGAGTGAACTGAATCCCAAAGCACTTACATCAGGGGTCAGGCCTTCTACCCAGGTGACTATCTTAGTTTCATCTATTTTTAAAATGAACTATTAGCAACATTTCTTTCATGACCAACTTAAAAGAGCCTATGAGACTTGGACATCATTTGGAGGTTTGAAGGGGACGGTGAGAACTTAGATTTAATGTGTGTCAAGGCCCAGCCTCTTCACCTCATACAATTCCAAGAGTGTGTCCATGTACTGGGTGAGGAAACCATGGGAGAAGGATGCTTGCATCACAGACCTAGTGAGGACTTGAATCAAGGCTCACCTGATTCTGAAATTTATATTGTTTTCATAATACAACACTATGAGAAGGAGCCAGGCATTGTTTTTCTCTGGAGGCAATGTTGGTTTGCCATTGCGGATGAGTACGTGTACCCTCAGCGTGTAAAATTTCAGCTTTGGCACCTGAATATACCAGAAGTCTTTGGCATCATCAACAAGAATGATTGACTGACCTCAACCCCTCCATATCTTATGAGTAGGACCCCAAAGACTATTCACCAGATTTTTCTTTCCTTCCTTATCTCTTAGAATTTTAAGAAGCTGTGTAGTGTGCTGATAGTGATGCTGAAGCAATACCTAATAGCCACTGTTTACTAAGTATTCTAGTTACCTTATCACATACTTTATATACATAATCTATTTTGATACTTACAAATCTTACATGGTCATATATTTTACAGATTTAGGAAGTTTAATTGTCTAAGGTTACATAGCATGCTGGGGAGTATCAGGTTTGGTCTTCGAATGCAGATCTAGCCATTATATAATGTTGTCTCGTCATTCATACTTCTTCCATAGCCTCCAATGATCTTGAACATGTGCTTTCTTATACTAATGTCTGTGGTGCATAAGTTTAAGTTTCCATATCAGTAATTTCATGTGACTAAGAATAATAGAAAACCTGAAAACAGTGACCTAAACAAATGGTAAACAAAGAATTCCATAGGAGGGCAATTTGGGGCTTGTATGGTGACACCCAGTGTCATCAGGAGCTCCTTCTAACTATCTATTCTAGGTTGTAGCCCTCATTTTTTTTACTAAGGGAACAGCTGTAGGAGCTCCAGTCATCGCTGGATATGAAGAAATTGTGTTCTTACCTTGAAAAAGTTGAAAGGAGAAGCCAAAGGGATAAGCCAATCAAGTCTTGCCCCTTTTAAAGGACTTTCCTTGAAATTCTCTACCTAGCAATTTCTATTTACTATCACTGATTGAGATTGTGTCCTAATGACCACTCTTAGTTACAAAAGAGGCTGGGAAAAGTCATTTTTGAGCAGAGCATGTTGTTGGAATGAACAAAAGTGCCATTCTGTTAACACAGAACACAACCCGTGAGTTTCTTAAAAGAAGACAAATAAATTCATCCTGTGTGACTCTTCACCAGTGACCGATGTCTAGGGGAAACTTGGTGTGTTCCAGAAGCTGAAAATATCTTGAGAAGACAAAAGAGTTGGTTTGGTAGAAGCTAGAACCAAGTAGGATATTTCTTGGGTACTCAAGAGAGTTGTCAAGGGTACAGTTTAACCTGACCCAGGGAAAGGAGAGGTAAGGTCTTGAAGAAGAGTGTAACCCTGATGATTTGAATCTAACTCCACTTGGACCGTGACTAGTACGGGGAAAGAAAAGGAATCTGAGACTAAATATACTTAAGCATTAAGAAACCTGTGCCACTCACAAGATTTTACTTCATAAGTGTCTTCTATGGGTGTAAAAGCAATTTTTTAATATTTGTGTTGGGGGGTGTATGATGTGATGAAGGCAGAGTTAATTGGGAAGCAGAATGAGGAAATGAGTGCAATAGAACAATGATGGCTTTGAAGACAAGGCGACTGAGTTTGAATCCCAGATGTATCACCTCCAAGCCCTGTGACCTTGGACGTCTCCAAACCTTTCTAACTCTATTTCTCATTTAAAAGGAAAGAAGGAAACTGATCATATCTTCCTAATATGCTTGCTGTAAGAAAAAACATTGATGGAGACCCAGTTCCCAACCTGGGGCTGGTGACGGAGGAATAACTATTGCTGGTGATGTCACACGGCCAGGTGTCTGTTAGCAGGTGCTGGCTCTGCACTTGTGAGCCCCATTGGACTGCAGGTCAAGATCCTGGTTTCTATTGAAGAAGAAGTGCGAGCTCTAGGACAGTGGGTGGGAAGATTAATTATCAAAGCCGCAGTCACAAGGAAATGCCCTGAGTTCTTGCCAATTAAGGCAGGAAGCCTGCTGGGTCAACTCAACTCCAGGTTTCAAATGCTCATTTGGGGCCACCTAAAAAAAAGCTTATAATGGAAGATTTAATTTCTCCAAATTTCCCCTTCTTCTGTATAAGATGAGGATAAACATAGTGCCACTTTCTTGGGTTGTTGAGAGGATAATGCCTCTAGAGCTCCTGATGAATCATAAGCACCCAGCAAATATTCTCTATTAGGAATGATGTTGCATTTCTCCCTCTGCACTGGGACAAGAGTGGGACTGGTTGGTCTTTTTTTGTTTGGCTGTCTCAGCTCCGGGAATCCCATAAAAACTTTAACTAGGGCATAAAGTACACATATAATCACACTGGGCCTGAAAAAGATACTGTGATAATGTGATTAATAATGAGTTCATAGATGGCAATAATGTGCTTCTGTAGGCTTTTAAATTTCGTTGGCTTCAGTGCTTATGAAAGGGAGACTGACAGCTCACTGCCTGGGGCAGCAAACACACAGTCCGTCCGCGTTTGTGACCAGGTTCTTACATAGCTTTGTGTCTCCAGTCAGAACTTGACTTTTGACATCTTTTGCCAGTAACACAGGCTGGGGGTGGGGTGACTTAAATATTCTTGCTTCTGATTTCTGAGATGTGAACAGGCTTGGCTGGAAATTGGGTGGAAATCAAGGAACAAGCCATGCTCCTGGAAATGATTAGCTTGCACAGCATTTATCATCATTACCACCTCCTTGCTCCATATTCGCATCAACTTTTATTCTGTCAAAGCACTTTCCCATGAATTATGTCATTTGATCCTCTCTGAAGCCTTTAGAGAAGACAGAGGAGATTTTGTTTTCATTTATTAGTTAATAAAATTGAGGCTCAGAAAGAACAAAGTGATTTGCTGCTGATTGGCATGGACTGAACTTGAATGCAAATCTTCCACCCCCAAGACCCAAAAGTTTTCTATATGACTGAGCATTGCTGCTGGCCTATGCCCTTACCTTGTCTTAAAGAAAACAGCATTACATGGCTTCATGTCAGGTTGTAACTTTCAGAAGGGGTAAGCTGAACAAACACATGCCCCTTCCAGAGGTCTGGAATTCACCGCATTCATAAGGGAGAAGATGGAAGAAGATAGAATAGCTTGTGGCCCTGCCAGAGAAGAGCATGTCTGCTTAGACGTGGTCAGGGGTCACTCCCCAGGGGCCTGCACCAGCGGATTCTAAGTGGGATCAGCCACATGGCAGGCACCAGGGCTTCCCCAAGTACAGAACATCTCTGCCGTAAACCCCACTCCTGCCTTGCCTCCTCCTCTCTGGGCTTCTAGGACGTGAAATTCTACCATTGACCTTGAAGACTAATTGGTCTTTAAAGAGATTCCAATTAACGCAGGAATTCTCTCACTGTATGAAATAGCCTATATATATATATATATTTAAAACCCTTGGGTACTGTTTTGGGAAATCACAAAGCCTAGTTCCTTGGGCTTCAGGAACTAGGAGCTCTTTTGTCCTCATCCGTAAGACATGAGCACTGAGAAGCATTGTAACAGTCAAATGAAATTCAGGTAAAAGGGCCATAAAAGTATAAGCTTTTCTTACGATTGCTGGGAAGAAGGGAGCAGCTGGGGCACTGGTCTGGGAAGGAGAACTTAGAGCTCAGAGGTCTGCATCTGACCTGAGGAAGCTCTGCAGTGGAGAGATGCAAAGATAGTCTGGCTGACTTCAAGGTTTGGTCCACGACTGGACCAGTTGTGGCCTGCACAGCCACTTGGATCGTTTTGACCTCCAGCCATCTGCGTCTGCCAATACAAAACAAATGGTTAATGGCATTAGATGGCTAATGATCTCAAATGTCCCCTGCTTCCTGCCATAAGAGGGAAAAGGGCCCCCTGGAGAAATAATCAAGGATGCTATTTTCAAAGTTACAATTAATTGCGTATTTGGGAAAGCTCATCCTCTGCCAGCTATTCTTACTGAGAGAGGAGGAATTAAGGGTGATGGAGGAGCTCTGATGGACAGAGCAGTTGAGATAGTCTTTATCAGGTCAAGAAGCCAGTCAGAGGACCCATATCCAACACCGGAGATCCTGGAACAAAGCCTTAAGTGTCATGTCATGGGGGTGGATTAGGAGCTGACTTCTTTGAGGCAACTTATGTGCCTAAAGGGGAAGGTCTGACCATCTGACCTTAAACTTTGAAGTTCCACAGGGCTATCCTTAGGTTGATTTATCAGAATGCCTTTTTCCCCCATGGCTTGAGCCAAATAGGCCTCCAGTCATCCCTCCTTGGGGGCACCTGAATGTGGCTTGTCCTCTCATTTCACTTTTCAAACTTCCTCCCTTATTTCCCTTCTCCTTCCTCCAGCTAGTGAGACCTGCAACGACTTCCACCCAATGTTCTTCACCCATGATAGATCCTTTGAGGAGTTTTTCTGCATCTGTATCCAGCTCCTAAACAAGACATGGAAGGAAATGAGGGCCACTTCAGAAGACTTCAACAAGGTAAGGTGAATCTGAGGTGAGGGCAGCAGCTTCCTGTGTCCCCAAATGGGAACCCTTTGCACAGTCCCTTAGCTGTGTGTGGAAAGTGGTTGGCTAGTTGGGAGGATGAGGACAACTGTAATTGTAGGCTGCTTTGAGAATGGAGAAAGACATGCTTATGCAGACATAGAAGGCTGTGTGTTGGCCATGCTGTCATCTCTCGAGATAAGCTTGTGTATGATTATTGAGCTCCGTTCCTCCTGGCTTCCCAAGCTGGAGCCACCAGCAGAGACCCTTTCTTGAAAAATATTGTTTAGATGAACCTTTTCCTTTAATTGTGTTTTTTTCCTTGTTCATCTAATATCTATTGGGGAAAATGCCTTCCCTCCACCTGTGCAGGGAGCTGCCACTGAGAAGATGAGATCAGAAAGTTTGCTCCATTTCTCTGTGGATTATGATAGCTTGAGATAATCTGCCCTTTGTTGTGCCTAAAAGGTTTTTTATTAAAATGCAAAAGCTCTTTCAGGGAGTTGAGTAAATAAGTTTATAGGAGCATTTCTTGGTTTATAGAAAGCATTTGATTCTTTGAACAGGGTGTTCTTTGGTTTTCTGTAAGAGATTGAATTTCACATTTCTGTTTGTAAGTGTATGTTGGATGGAGAGAAGAGGGTTGACCATGTCAGAGGAAGCAGAATCATCATGTACATTGCTGAAGATAAACAAAATCTTTATCCTTAAGTAAAAGCCTTGTGAACAGTAGTGACATGGCCAATAATAGCTGATGGTTGGGACAAGAATAGTTAAGCCTTTAATACTTCTGATTTTCTACTGTATAAGGCTGTTGGTTTGGGTGGTCCCATCACCATGCCCACTGACAGGGTACTGGGGACAGAGCTATGGCTAAGGGTCTAAGGGTCCCATCTCACAGTCATCCCGTAGGGCCCTCATGGGCTTGTACTTAGGGCATAATATCTGAATTCCAACTCTGCTCGATATTCTTGTTGGTCTTTGATTCCCTGTCACCTTTCCTTTAAACTTACATTTCACCCTTCTTTTCCATCATATTTTTGGTTTGCGGCATCTTGAACTGATAACTGGTTGAAAAAAAGAAAACCAGGGAAAGGAAACATGGCTCTGTCCCAAGCCTGTCAGGTTTCCACCCACTGGTCTCCACCAGCATCATGACCTTGCCTGCAGTTGTACAAAGCCATTCTATCTCTGCCATTTGGGACCATCTATTTAATTCTTGAAATAGACCCTCATGATGCCCCCCTTTGGAGAATACTGATCTGGAAGCTGCTATTCAGAGCTATGAAGGGTCTGAGCAGCTCTGCCTAAGGACAGGCATGATTTAGGAAGGGAAGTGGGGGAAAGAGACCCATTAATTCTCTTGTGATTATAAGTGCAGCCTACTAAGGGTACTTCACTTGATTGTAAGACTTTGCAATTCAGGTACAAATCATCCCTGGGAGAGAGAAAAGAAGGAGCAGAGAGATCTTTGTATAATCAAGCCAAAAAAAGTGGAGAGTTAAATCAGTAGTCTCTGATATAGCTATAGCCTCTTGCCCCAGATCAGTTCAACTCTTTCATGAACTGCAGTGTTTCAAAGCCATGCGGTCTTCAGCTTTTATGTGCCTGGGACACTTGTTCCTCCAAGAGAAGGGGCCTCACTGGTTGTCATGTGTCCTAGCATCAGACGTTTGTCTGCTTTCTGAGAAGATGTCAACCATCTGCTTCTCCTGAATTACAGAAAATGGCATTTTTTAAGTGATAACAATGCAGATACTATTATTGTGGATCTGTGCATATATCAGTTATATGGAAAATATCACCAGATTCTTGCAAAGGAATGGTTCAAGGGGATGAACACCTAGCCACCTAAATCTTATAGAAGAACATGAAGCTCCAAGGATACATTGTTAACCAAGGAAACCAGAGACCATAGTCTGGAGGAGATGAGCAGGGCTGGAGAAGGAAGGTGACCATGACTCTTGGCTCCATGCAGTTTTGAGCATGATTTTTGGGTCCATGCAGTTCATCATGGTGTGTGCTCTGACTGGTGGTGACAATATCTCACCTGTGCAAGGTGAGGTTCCACCAGGTGGCAGCAAGCTCCCCAGAGTGTCACTCTGAAACTGTTTCATAATTGATTTATATGGCTGCAAAAACCTCTCTTCAGCAAGATCTAAGAGCCAGGTTTGGAGTACGGTTTCTTACTGTATCCCTAAGTGCCATCTTCTCACTTTGTTTACAAATCACAAGGGTTAGTCTGGTGTCACACATATACTTCTGGGCAATGCTGACAATTCATGGCTTGAGCAGGTAGTTGGAGGCCTGAGAGGCAGAGGGTCCCAACCCATGTACACATATCCATTGGCCAAGAGGTGGCTATCAAAGGAATATCTGTGATGGGAATAACAAGGAATTTAAATTTTCTACATTAAATATTTTTGCTGTTGCTTTTTTCTTTTATTCCCTTCTTTTATAACCAGGAAAGTATATCGGTTATATACTTATTTTTTTCATGCATGTATTGTTTCCTATTGATCCTTTAACAAATTACCCCAAGCTTTACTTTATACAATATAAATTTATTAGCTTATAGTGCCATAGTTCAGAAGCCAAAAATGGGGTTTACTGGGTTAAAACCAAGGTGTCAGCTGAGCCGTGTTCCTTTCTGGAGGCTCTAAAGAGAGCCTATTGCCTTGGCTTTTCCAGGTACTGGAAGCCACCACTCCTTGGCTCATGGCCTTCTTTGTTTATCTTCAAAGCCAGCAACTGTAGGCCCAGTCCCTCCCCTGCCACATCCATTACTCTGACCTCTCTTCTGCCTCAGTCTTTCACTTTTAAGGACCCCTGTGATTATACTGGACCACCTGGACAATTCCAAGATATTCTTCCCTATTTTAGGTCAGCTGATTAGGAACCTCAATTCCATCTGCAACCTTATTCCCCTTGGTCATATAAAGTAATATATTCACAGATTCTGGGGATTAGAACATGGACATCAATGGGAAGGCCATTATGCTACCTACCATAATGTATATTTAATTTCTAAGATGTTAGATTTGAAGGTATGTGTATCAGTTTAAAGTAATGAACTTTTTGTAATTGTTTTTTTGTGGTAGACTAGCATAATAGCAGTCAGGGTTCTGCCAATAGTCACCGAAAGGCAGATATAATTATCTTCCTTTTCTCTTATGTCCCTGTTCTGCTTCCATCAGCCTTTTCAAAAAAGTTGGACCTGTGTGAGGGCCTGTAGTTCCGTGTGAAAACGTCTTTCTTATTTTTCACTGCTGCCCCTCTATCAGCCAGTGTTCTTCTTTACCAGACAATAAATTGGAAAAGAGAAAAGAACTGAAATTTTCATCACTTCACTTTTCTTTTTGTTATTAATTTGGTAACAGAAGTGATTGAATTTAGGAACAAATGTGGATTTGGTGTTACTGCTAAATTTAATCTTATTTGTTTCCTAAGATTTACCATATTCCAATTCAGAAGTATCTTAAAAGAGCCCAACATGAGACACAATTTCTTTTGAACTTTCTTGGACATCATCTCAGGCTCTCCATTTTGAATGGAAGCATGGATGGCGGATTTAATTGTCAACCTGAGATCCAGGGTTCTGTAAGAAGGGCGTAGCTGTCTGCCTTCTTTAGCTCATTATTGCTCCAGAGGCAGTGTCCCTCAATTCAAAAATTTTATTTTTTCTAACAAACAATACTAAATTCCAGCAGACGCCCAACTGTCTTCTATCGTCCACCTTGCTTGGGACATGCTACCCATGGCTGTCAAACGAATGGGAGATTCTCCTCCAGTCATTCCGGGCCAGCTCAGGACCCGTGTTCCTCAGTGACGAGGAATGTTACCACACCTCAGATCTATCCTGGGAAAAGGAGAGCAGGAGGAGGAGGAAGAGGCCAGTGAGGACACAGACATGTCTGTCAAAGAGGAGAGCCTGGTCAAACAAGTCAAGAGGCTGGCTAGTTTGTAGCTCACTAGTGGTTGTTAGTTAATACTACCACTGGAAGCAAGAGTTTGAGAAGCAGCTGTCTTCCTGCTTTTCCAGACTTGGGGAGCAGAAGATAGCATTTTTTAAATTTAGATAAAAGAAGTAGGATTAGAGAGTGATTAAAATATTTATGCTTTGAAAAGTACTTTCTTTCAGTTTCTTAATATAGCAGTCTCTGCAGAATAATACATTGATTCAGGCCATTGAGTTTGTATTCTATATTTTTGTCTTTTATTACCAATATTTTAGAGCATGCATTATTCATTTTTATGGGCATCAGAGAAGAGTTCAACTGCAGCTGGATACCACGGCACACAAGTGACCCCATCATCATTCACTGAAGCCCTTTTTTAAGCAGGTAGGAAAGAGGACACAAAGGATTCAGATTTGCAGGTTCAGGATCCTCATTTCAAGCTTTTGTCAATGGCTGCTCTGCTTAGAATTTCTAACAAAGCTATGCACATCTGGATCTGTTTTTGTCTCTAACAGTGTTTCTCAACCTTGCGTGGACCATTAGAATCACCCAGGGGGGCTTTGGAGCCTTGGTTATCCCAGTGCCCATTCATCACATACCAATTACATCTTTGGGCAGGACCAAAGCTGTCCATGAAGATTTTCATCATGGTAGACTTGATCACTAAAGGTGAACTCTGTCCATAGAATTACCATCAGTTGACACCTGTAACTAGTATGAAGTGTGTGCCTTGATGAAGTAGTACCTCCATCAGTCTGTAAGGCCCAGGTTCTAATACTGGTTCTGCTAATCAGGAGGACTAAGTCTGAAATTTCTTTTTTTAAGTGGATAACTGAATCCCGTCGCCCTCTTTTATGGTGATATTAAGTTGAAACAAGAAATATAAAAATGCTTTCAGGAAGTATTATGACATACTTGTTGTGAAGTGTTCCTTTTGTATGTAATAAGATTAATGCTGTCTATGAAAAATTAGGAAATTGCCCTTTTCGAAAGAAGACATTTTCTGACTATTAAGTCGAAAAAAAAAAATGAAGC